ATATCAAACTGTGACCCGTCCTGACCTCTCGTTTGCCATCAATACCCATTGTCAACATATGCACAATCCACTTCCCTTAAAGACGTTGGCTCGCGACGAATGAATCCGAACTAACTGGGGCTATTGTCATTTAAAATGAACTAGAGTCGAGTGAATTTGATTTGATTTTGATTCGATTGGTGAATTGATTTGAGCCCAATAATGTATCAATTTGATCGAAAATAAATTAGATTGAGTCGATCGACATCGACGAATCATAAATCGAGCTTGATTTGAGTTCATTTTGGAGTTGAATTGAAATTGGATTGAATTGATTTTGATTCGAGTTGAGTGATAGGTTCGAGTCGATGCTATGTCATTAGGTGTCCACCTAAGAGAAATCCTATGGGTGTGACATCTACACTAAGCTACGAAAACCTAAGTACTAGAGTTGAATTCGGGAAAATTGACCTCGAATAATGAGATCAACACTTACTGGCTTTGAAAACCACCGGCCCCCCCTGTGAGGGTTATTAGGATTTATTTCCTAAGTTATTACTAAGCCTCTTTAAAAGTATTTTCCCTCTTTGCCAGCCGAAATTTCAAAGCTTAAGCTAACATCAATTCTGTCCATTTATTCTCAGCCTCCTGAATTGGAAGTAATTCCAAAAGCTGGCCACAAATCGTCCGCCTCCTCCTTAATTGTGTTGTTTGGTATTTACTCAGTTTTACTTCCTATTTTATTGCCCAAATCAGTTCACTGATTTTGGGAATTGAAATCCATCAAATCCCTGTCATCCTGCCGTTCCCTTCCTCTCCAAATTGTTCCAGGTAACGTCCCTAAACAAGAACCTGTGGAGTGGACTTTCTTCTCAACCTTTCTCTTCTCCATCAAGGCTGAAATCTAGGCTTCTCCTTCAATCTTCTCTAAACCCTTATCTACTGAAATTTGAGAATTTTTCTCAGGTTCTAAATAAAAACCTGAAGAAAATTTTCAGATTTTGTGAAACATTTGGAATTTGTCCATCTTCGATAACAAAGCCGTTTTTCGTTCTATATTAGTTTGGTATCAGAGCATGGACTCGGATCGACTTGGAAGGACTATAGACTGTGTGGCAGGTCAACTGGGCGCCATTAATCAACATCTCAAGGAGAATCAAGCAGACTTAGCCGACTTCCACCGTCAAACAATCGAACGACTCGATAACCTAGTGCGAGGTAGGACTGACTCACCGCTTTACACACCTTCAAGATCTCCTTCATCAAAGGATAGAAAAATAGCACTAAGAAACAGAGAAATAGTTGATAGAGTGGACAAATAGATGAAGGCCAATGAAGCTTTCAATTTCCCAATCACTGTGCAAATCAAAGAGTAATCTAAGGTGATCAAGGAAGGACATAAATAAGAAAATGAATTGGTTGACAAGGAGAAATGCGTGACTACAAATAATGCAGAGGGAGACTTGTTTGACTCAATTACAACTCCTGCAGAAGCCAAGGTTTCTCCTGACCCAGTTAAAACTCCTATAACGGATAATGTTGATGAAGCTCTGGAAGTGACATCTATATTGGCGAGTTAAAGTGCAACGAACAAGTTGACCTTGTGGGCAACCGGGGTTGTTTGAGAATCGTTGCAAAAAGGCTATTGGGTTTATTGTTTCCAAATAACAATCCAGAGTTGTACATGAGCAGTTGTGATGCTTACTCGACGGAGTCGAGTATTCTCCCACCTCTGGAGAATGATGCGGACATCGGTACGAAGATTTGACGCATCTATCACAGGAGGCGTCGTAAATCAACGGCTATAATTTAAACCTTCAATTATGATTTATTTTTATAAATTTTAGTTCTTAATTAATGTTTTTCCTGTTTTACCCCTAGGATATTTTATGTGAGGTTTATGGCCCAAGGGGAAATTTTGTAATTTTTTATTTTTCTCATGTTGTGGCCTATATATAGGGCCTTTAGCTATTGTAATGGGGATGAAGATTTGATATTAAAAAAATTTTGTCCACACTTGTGTTCTTTTTGAGAGAGGACGAGAGTGAGATTCCTATGGGAAGGAATCGAACCGCAGGATGGGTCCGGGCTCGTGAATTGAAGTTCCTTGGAGAAGGGCAAAGAATCACCCGTCAGTCTTTGGAAGAGTCCGAGGCTCGCTGTTTTTTTTAATTTCTCTCTTTCTTTTATCTTCGATCTTCTATTTTGGTTCTTGTGTTCTTTGTTCTGCCTTTGTATTCTTTGTCGTATTGCTACTCGTAGTCATCTTTTCCTCCTCCCTCAAATTCACGGCCAAACACCTCTTTGGATGCCGCCGGCCAATTCTCTAGCCGCCGGCCAACATCCACCACCTCATCCCAATTGAAATCCTTGCCTAATTTGGGTGGACATATTGTGGGCTGATTTCAAATTTCAAATCTTGTATTTTGAAATTCGAAATCGTTCCTAATTCATGAAAGCTATTTTCGGAAAGTTTCCATTTTTAAATCCGATTTGAATTTCAAATTCAAAAAGGATTTAATTATTTATTTCCTTAATTCCCTAACATTAATCAAATTCTATTAATTCCTTCTTAATTTAAATTCATTTGAATTATAAATTCGATTGAATTTTAAATTTAAATCTGAGAGCATTAAATTCCCTTGCTGGCTTTGAAAACCACCGGCCCCCCCTTGAGGGTTATTAGGATTTATTTCCTAAGTTATTACTAAGCCTCTTTAGAAATATTTTCCCTCTTTGCTAGCCGAAATTTCAAAGCTTAAGCTAATGTCAATTCTGTCCATTTATTCTCAGCCTCCTGAATGGGAAGTAATTCCAAAATCTGGCCACAATTCATCCGCCTCCTCCTTAATTGTGTTGCTTGGTATTTACTCAGTTTTACTTCCTATTTTATTGCCCAAATCAGTTCACTGATTTTGGGAATTGAAATCCATCAAATCCCTGTCATCCCGCCGTTCCCTTCCTCTCTAAATTGTTCCAGGTAACGTCCCTAGACAAGAACCCGTGGAGTGGACTTTCTTCTCAGCCTTTCTCTTCTCCATCAAGGCTGAAATCTAGGCTTCTCCTTCAATCTTCTCTAGACCCTTATCTACTGGAATCTGAGAATTTTTCTCAGGTTTTGAATAAAAATCCTGAAGAAAATTTTCAGATTTTGTGAGACATTTGGAGTTTGTCCATCTTCCATAGCAAAACCGTTTTTCATTCTACATCAAAAAGCTTCAATGGAATTTCAAGAAATTCAAGGTGAAACTTAAGGTTTTCATCTTAAACTTGAATGTTTAATGAAACTCCACTTAAACTCTTCAATGGTCATCCAAGTGTTGGGGGTACACAAAAAACACACAACAAACACAAACAAGAAAAAATAGAAATGCAGCGAAGAGTAAAAAATACCAGGATTTAACGTGAAAAAACCTAAAACTAGGAAAAAATCATGGAGCCACCCCACACCAAGAAATCCACAATGAAAATATGGGAGAATTAATACAGATTTCTCTTCTCTCTCACTCTCTCCTTGCTTCCCTTCTCTCTTACACCGCTCTTATACAAGAACAAACAAAGAAATATAATACATGCCACTAAGGGACACCACCCTTAAAAAAAAACGAGAAAGAAAAGCTGTCCAATCAGCTTCGCAACGCTGCGGTGCCGGTTTGGAGCGTCGCGGCACTCAATGCTCAATCTCCAGTTTGCCTGACAGCACCGCAACACTGGATCTTGAGCATTACAGCGCGTTGCTCTCTATCTTTTATACAAGAAAACTATGTAGTGCCGAGGCGCTCGAGTACATAACGTCGGAGAGCTCTGGTACATAGCATCGAGGCATTGTACGAACCCTCCACCCAGCAAGCACAACAAACTAAGTTGAGGTACGTGGCAATAGTACAACCTGATTGATCGACACAATCAGATTCCACACATACAAACACCAAGTTCTACTAAAATTCTATCACTCTAGTCCTATTTTATTTCACTTGTATTATAACTTGAATCCCAATTAGATAATTCTTTTTTAAACCTTTAATATCTTTGTCATGTTTTATAATAAAAACCCAACCGAAATAGAATTTTGATACTGAAGACACTAGCAAAAATAACGAAACTTAATTTTTTACAATAGGGCCGAAATTGAGCTTTAAAACCTTGGTTCAATCACCATCTATCAATCAAATTTAAATGCCAATAGCCAAAATCATGCCAAATATCTGGGCAAACAAAAATGAATGTGAAGACATAAAGTTGGAACCATTAAGAGGCATAACAAACCAAAAATAAATCATTGACAAACAATGCATGTACAATATCTCCATTCCAAAAGATGCATTCTAGTGTTGGTGATTACAGGGCTACACTCCATACAAACAAAACTGTCACGACAACTGAAAGAGCTGACAGATAACAAAAACAATTACCGTAGCTCGATCAGCCTTTGGAATTCAGACAACCAATCTGATTCCAGGTTTATAATATTGATATGGTTCAAAATGCAAGGAGCCAACTCAACTAGTGATGCAGTCAGTACAACAAATTAAAAACTCATAGCAGAAAAAGACAAGTTCCATATAAAATATAAAAGATGTCTGTGGAGTGCCCACAAGTCGCAGCAACAGTGAACTCTCTTTAAAACTAGAATGCCGAGTACGATAGATTAGAACTCACATGTGGAAGGTCAGCCAATATTAGATAGGTCAATAAAAATATGGAAGAAGCATTATCAGACAATCAGGAATCATATTGGTCACCACTCAACATCACCAAAGCAAATTAATTTAGTCGACGAATAATCCACACACTCAGCTCTATTTTCTTTCCTTCCCCAACAACCAAATTTCAAGTATGTTAAAAATGGAAGTACCTTCTTCTTCCTTAGTAAACCAATACGTTGCACCGAAATTTAACAGTGAGCTAAAAAAATCATTAATACCTCCATTATCCAGAACCATTCGTCAGAATCGAAGGTTAGAAGTAGAGCAAAAAATTATAAAACTGCAAACAACTACTGTAGGCTGCGAAAATTTTACCTGAGAACCCTAGGCCCATTCTTCCGAGAAATTAGCCGGGAATCAGGGAAAGGGAAAGATTTTTTAGCCCGGGAGGCAGAGGGACTGGGCAGAGCGGCTCCACCGTATCCAGGAGGCTTAAGCTGCAGAAGCGCCGTCGAATTCATCGTCGATGACAGCGGCTGAAAGGAGGAAAAGCAGCACGACGGCTGGAAACAAGGAGTTTAGAAACGAGTTGCGAGAGCTCACGGTTTCAGTGGGAATTGGTGATAGCTGGATCTTTGAGGGGAGAGTGACTTCGGCCATTATCCATAAGAGTCAGCTTCATCTCTTCCGATTCAAGTTAAAAGCTTTTCGAAGATTTAAATTGTCATGCCCACCATCCGAAACGATCGTTTCGGCCACCCCAGTTTATGGGGTGGCAGCTAAGCTTATCCAGCTTATGAGTCAAAGTTGAGGCTCAAATTCAGCTCGTCAGCTTGTTTAGTAAATGAGCTCAAGTTCAACCTCAAATACGAGATCATTTAATAAACGAGCTCGAGCTCGA